CACACACACACACACACACACACACACACACACACACACACACACACACACACACACACAGACACACACACACACACACTATTTCTTTGCACATTCACATCTGCAGCAATGTTTGAACACGAATAGCTCAAAGACCACTAAAGATAATAGCCAGACATTTTCAATGTTCTTTCTTACAAGCCAAACGAGCCTCGCTTGTGAGTTTGTGGTTTCTGCGTAGACTGTGTGGTTGTTGTATTTTTTTTATTTTTTATCTAACTTCAGCAATAAAGCCACTTTTGATTTTTACATCTTGTTTTCAAAGTGGCTTAACCTTCGGGGCTAGTCAACAGAAGCAGATCTAATTACACCATACTGCCTTCAATTCGCTGTTGTATTATGTACCCTGTTATGAGTGCTATATCATCAGAATTTATTGGAATTTTCTTTTGAACAATTTCTACATCTGTGGGCCAACTAAATGTTTATAGGGGTATTTATGCTGATTAATGAAAGATATATACAGTAAAAATTAATTCTCTTTTTATTGCCTGTTGACTTTATTATATTTTTCATGTTGGTGTTCTGCATTGTTTACTGTTATTGTATTTTTATTTTTAGTATATATATTGATAAGTAAGAAAAGGAATCAGTGATGTTTCATCAGTGTACATGGGAGAAGTAGTTTCAATACCATTGGCTGTCTAGTGGACTGACGATGCAAGACCACTAAGATCAGTGATATGCTCAGACTGAAGTTCATCATTCGTTAGTTTGCAAGACAGTCACTCAGATTGCAGACCTGACATTCTGATAGAGATTCAGCAAACATTATATAGAATTACTATGATGGGGCTTATGGTCACCCTCATATGGGTACCAGCGCATCATAGAGTTAAGGGAAATGATATGGCAGACAGAACAGCAAAGGAAGCTACAAAGAGACCATTATGGATATGGAAATCAGTGTTAGTAGGACAGCAATCAAGAGTAGAATATGGCACAAAATAAAAGAAAGGTGGCAAAGGCAATGGGAGGAAGAGAGGTAAGAGAGATGGTTTTATAAAATACAAAGGGAAATAAAAAAAATGAGAAGCACAGGGAGGAACAGGAGAGAGGAGACGGTTATCTGTCGATACTCCACACCAGTTGGTCGCGATAATGCACCATTTTGCTGTTTGCCAGCCGCCACTAAACAGTATAAAGAGGAAGAAAAAGAAAACGAAACCTGTCAGGATACACACGTCTGTTTTCTACAGTCATTGGTCTGTCCATTGAAGTAAGCTTCTATTGCACATCATTCTTCACTAGCGGTCTCCAGCGCCACACTTTCATATCTCACAGGTTTATCTTAACCATTCCGTTCTTTATGAGTTAGTTCATTCCTAATGTCACATCATCGGTTTTTATTTCCGGATTCATTATTGTCTTTTTTAAAAAATGTTTTCGGATCACAGTCAAAAACACACAGTATAACCTATGCAGTTTCACAAAACGGAACGACTGAAGTGTCACATATAATCGGGTGGGTGCACAGTCACTCTGTCACGAGAGCAAAGAGATGCCATTCATCGTCGGGACGAAGTCCTCTGACTTGAAGTTAGCAGAGGGTCGGAGAAGTCCCCGGTGCTGCCGCTTAACTGGTTTTCTGGTGGCGTTTTCCAACGTGTATAATAATCCGTGACAACATAATCCAGATGCTTCTAGTCGCAGAGTCGCCATATTAATGCGAATCTTTGTAGAAGCGAAGGCTCAATTTTAGTAGACGTGTGTCAACTCATTAAAATTATGTTTAGACGATTTAAATGTTTAATGAGACGTCACGTTGGGAGTAAACAGCAGCACTGAGAGCGCACTCCGAGTGAGTCACATTGCAAATTTTCTGCAGCAGGAAATGTTTTCTTATTTCCAGCGGTGCTCTTTTTACTATGATATACTGTTTTTTTTAAATAGATTTTTAATTACCGTTTTATTATCATCACCTGATAAAGTCTCTGACTGGATTGCGCTGTACGCGTAAGAAGCGTCACCTGACTAGTTAAACGCCCTTTCTATCGCGAGTGCTCGCAGACCCTCGTGCGGAAAGACTGACTTAAAAAAAAGTTAACAGGTATCATGAATGTAGTTATTATCTCCAACGAGGGTTTTAGATGTTTTTTCTTGTCCAGTTTGTGAAAAGAAAGCTGTGTTGTGTTGAACTTCGTATCTGTTCCTGGAGACACAGCAACGCACGACACAGACCAAACCAAACAAAAAGATGTCAAACTAAACGTAGGCTTGCCTCACAGCATGAAAGTAAACATCTGTATATCAGAAGATAAAACACAGTAACCACACACAGCAAAAATACTTTTCTCATCATCAGTTCTTGACAAAGTATTTCAGCACATTATTTTAGAGCATCACAGTTTGTGATTACATCAGGAACAGCATCCAGTGTAATAATCGGCCAAATCAAATATGCAGAGCTACACATCTTGGTGACACCTTGTGACAAAGAAGCAGCCAAAAATATTTAATACTACTGGTTGAAGAAAGTAAAATCATGTAGCGTGTTTTTATGTGTTTTATTTTATTGTCTTTGATTTAATGAATTAGGCCAACAGTGAAGTGTGGGCCACCATTCTGGCTCTGGTCTGGCTTCCTGCTTTCAAGATGGATGCAAAGGACGAGTGGGAGCTTCTGGCTATGAAAGCTGTTTCATGGTTCCGTGCTCAGAATGGTAGTAACACGCTAATTAAAGAATAAAATGTTTTAAAAATAGTTTCATGCTACAGTCAACTTTTCTCCATCATTCATCATTATTTTAATATCTGTTTTCTGTTTTCAGCGCCACGTGTGACAGAGTGTGTGGATGCTGGAAAGGTCCTGTTGGGTTGCAGCGTGAGGAAAGAAGCTCTGGGCCTCTCAGGGGTTTCTTAAAGTGGCTTCACCTTCAGGGTGATCAGAAGCAGATCTGCGTACACCTTACTGCCTTTGATCCAGTGCTGTTTTATGTTACATACCCTGCTGCTGTTATGCAGTCAGAATTGTTATATATTCTTTTTCATGCTTAGTTCTTAGTGTTAAGAGGCATTTTGTATTTTGTGAATCACTCCCTGTAAACCAGTGTGGGGAACTCCAGGCCTCAAATGATTAGTTCATTACCAGGCCTCTGGAGAACTTCAAGACAAGTTGAAGATGTAATTTAGCCATTTAAATGAGCTGTGTTGGATCAAGGACACATCTAAACCTTGCAGGAAACCGGGCCTTGAGGTCTGGAGTTCCCTACCCCAGCTGTAAACCAATGCACCTTTCGAGGTCCTCCTTCTTAGTTGCATTGAGGATTTTGTGCACGCTTCTTATGACAGAGAGGATAGAAGAGGCACAAAACTGTGCCCAGTCTGTGACATCAAACAAATTGGTTGTGAATCAAAACTCTTTATTCCTACTTTTCTAAGTAATCTTAAAATTTCAAGTAAACCTTTTCTGAGTAATCTGTTTCTCCCGTTGCAGTTGTGCTCACCAGTCAAAACACAACGTCTATACACCACTAAACATTCAACACTTCTATAGCAAAGTCCGTGAGCTGAACACATACAAGGTGCCTGAACATAACTAACAAATTATAATTTGTCACTCCAAGTTAACATGTTTGTTTTTTATTTTTAAAAAGCAAACTTTTTCAACCACCACTGGTTTATTATTCTTTTTGTTCAGTTTGTTCTTGTCTTAATGTGTCTACTCAGACAAAAACTGTGTGCATTTCTTTTCTTTGCTCGGTCACTGAACGCTAATGCAGAAAGCAGTGCAGGGTTGAGTCAAACCGATATCATCAGGTGCTGGAGGCAACCATCATGGTTTCATGTTTCATGACAAAGAAGGATACTGTTCAAAATTATACATGATGATGTGCTCCCAATAATATTTGGAAGACCTACACACATTTTTTTAAATACTGGATTCTTTGTGTGCAAACAGTTCTTGAAAGATCGATTGACGGGGGCCAGTCTCTTTCTGTCATGGTCCTGGGTCTGGTGACCCAGTGTTCATGTGTTTTCGAGTTTTGTTAATATTCTTTGATTTTGTGTCATTTGTGGTTTTGGTTCTCTTAATTGTTTTGTGCTCATGTTATAGTTTTTAGCCTTTAGGTTTTCATCCTTTGTGTCTTGCCTGTCTTTCACGTTTCTTGTTTAGTTCCAGTTTGTTCTTGGTTTACTTATATTTTGGGGTTATCAGAAATGTTTTTTTGTAGGTTAATAAATATTAGGTTTATATTGTTGGATTGTCATTTATGCTTAGAAATATATAACCATATATTCTTAGAGGTGTATAACCAATTGTGTAGTGATAGGATGTGTGATCCTTAGTAGTCTGCAAAGACTGTGTGTGCATTCCAGAGTGCTCTGGCATATACACACACATCTTAAGGAGATGAGAGAGGTCGTACCTTCTCTTACTGTTTTATGGTATGGTAAACACATCTATGTCCGTTTAGGTGTAAGTGCCTTTTGTTTAGATGAACTGCTGGACTTCGAGGCCCAGCAGATTTAAGGGAGTCATTCACGGGGTCAGATCTTGACCCACACGCACACACACATGCACACCTACACGTATACACAGACTGGTACTCTTTGTTCCCATGTATGCCTATGTAAGATGTCATATGTTAATGAACTAATGCATATTCATGAATTACTTCAGTAAAGAGCAGTACTACGGGGGAGCTACCTGAGAGTGACTGGGGTTCGAGCGTCAGGAACAGCGCTCATCACAGTTCTCTCCCTCGTGCACGTGATTACCAAAGAACTTTGGTGACTTGTGTCTTGTTTTTGCTGGTGTAGTAGCATTGTCTCATTTCAGCAACAGGTCTGTGCTAGGCAAACCTATCAATAATTGCTTAATTTTTTGTTTTGTTTTTGTTCTTTATCTTTATAAGTAAGGCAGGAAGAACTGTAGGGCCATTTTCTATAAGGGTTTGTATCGGTCCAGCATGAACTGGAGTGGGCCTTTGGGACAGAGCAGGAGAAACAGCAGGAAACAATAAAAATTGATCTTTGGTTATCGCTTGCCAAACTGGATAAACTGACCATAAAACGCAACTTTCAAATTTTGCACATTGGACTGCTTTTGCCTGTGTACAAACTATCACCACAGTGCAGCAGTGGTTTGTTGATTTGAAATTATTGGATGTTTGATTGGACAAACAGTGGACACTCTTGGTCTCACCAGTAAGTCATGTCCCAATGCTCCCCTTGTTTCCAGTGTTAAGCTTGTGTGTCTTTCTCCGCTTCTCCGTATTTGTTGTGCTTCCAGTTTGATTGCCCACTATACAGCTGAATTGACAGCGTCTGTTTAACATCATGGGACAGTTCTGTTTGATATTGTGCTGATGTGGTTCTTTGAATATGTAGTTTTTGTGGATTGAAAAAATGATGTCTATTTTGATAATAAATCAAATATGAATAAACCTTCCTTGTTTAAACATGTGCCATGGTGTGTTGTCCTTTTGCTTGTGACTTCTTGTTAGTTTTTTACTAATAAAAAAGCCAGGAAGAGCATCCACTTTTCCTGTGCCCATGTTCTGATGATGTTTACTATCGCTTACAGTATAAGTATAGACACTGCTGCTTCATTTTACTTAGCAAAACTTAAAAACAATTACTAGAAATTTGGTGTTTAGATTGTGAGACACACGCCTGACTGGTATATCACAGGAAGGTGGTGTGTGTCTGTTTAAACACGGATGAGATCGGTCACAGGTAGGTGATTACATCAGGGGCTTCAGGTGGAAACCCAGAGAGGGACCCACCCGGGAGCACAGACCACAATAAAACACCGAAAGCCAACAGGAGAGAGAGAAAGTGAGAAGACAAACCAGATGGTATCAGCCAGGGAAGACTATAGGTGACCATAAAAGTCTGATATTCATATTAGCATAGAGCAGCAGAGAGGGTTTTTCCTCATCGGTCAAAACAGTTGTGAAAACATTTCAAAGCTTTATTTGTGCTTCATTTCTAGACAGAAGATCGTGATTCCAGTCTGCTCTGTTTCATTTAATTGTTGTTGATTTAATGAATTAGGCCAACAGTGAAGTGTGGGCCACCGTTCTGGCTCTGATCTGGCTTCATGCTTTCAAGATGGATGCAAAGGACGAGTGGGAGCTTCTGTCTATGAAGGCATCCTCATGGCTCCGTGCTCAGAATGATCGTAGCAATGATAATAACAGATAAATGATTTAAAAAATGCTTTATGCTACAGTGTAATTTTGTGTTGGACAAGTGAAAACATTTGCTTAGACTTTTTACTTTATTCAAAATTGTAATCATAGTTAATTAGCTTAATACTGAACAAGTTGCGTGACAAAAATACATTTACATTACCTTAAATAATTAAAAGCAACATGTAGAATGGGACATTTCAGAATCATATACAATACTATATACTTTTTATTGGATCATAATTATCCATTGATATGTATGCTCTAGATGATGATTTGTATGATGAGTTTAATAACTCTATACTCCTGATTAGCCAGTCCACCTCTGACTGTTTTAGCCATGGGCGATGTGTGACCTGAACAAATTCAGAAGCCAAACTAAACTAATCAAATTAAGTTTGCTTACTGGCTTTTTTTATGGAAACTAAGTCCATGTGTTACCTTATCCTGTGTAGGTAATGTCCTGTGTTAAGGTGTGACTATTGTGTTAAAGAAATCTCAGTTGAATGTCTGATTTACTCTTTAAACTATATTTTAAAATAATTTGTACTTGTTTTTGACCACCAGTGATGCAACTTAATAAAGTATCTTTTACTGCTTTTTTGCTTTGGTATAACTGAGGTGTAAACTTTCTCTAATAAAGACACTGATTAATTAATGAATAAGCAGTGATTGCACTTTTTCTACATTTCAAACTGAAATGGGTCAACAGTTAAAGTTTCCATATTCACAAAACGCTTTTCTGTTTGCTAAATGTTTCTCTTGTTCACAAGAGGATGCAATAATGCCATATATTATAAGCAAAGACTTTCACGTGAAGTACAATTATTTTTAGTGTAAGAGTGTGAGCGTGAGACCTTTCAGGACTTCAGAGCTATTGCAAAGTAAAAATGTAAACCACAGAAGGAATTCTAAAAAAACAATCCAAAGGAAAAATGTTTTGCAATTTGACGCTCCGCCCACCCAGTGCATATCGGTTGGTGGAAAAAACAAGGAAATGGGACGTACCCGGTAGCAGTGACTTTTTTTCTATAAAGTCTGCTGTTTGTGGCGTAAACATTGCTACAAGAGCAGAGGAGTGCAGTAAACCTATCAGGATACACCCGTCTATCAATAGAGGTAAGCTTCTATTGCGCATCATTCTTCACTGGCGGCCATATTTTCATATCTCACGTGTTGATTTTAACAATTCCATTTTTTATGAGTTTGTCGCTCAGTTCATTGTCACGTCATTGGTTGCTTTTTCAGTTTTCATTACTGCCTTTTAACAAATGTTTTCGGGTCCCAGACAAACAGTTTCAAAACTATTCAGTGGCACAAAACTGCATAATTTTGTGTGTAGTGAAAAAGAACTATTGCCTTAGATTCTGAAAGTGTCACGTACTAGCAGGTAGGTGCACAGTCACTCTGTCACAATAACAAAGAGATGCCATTAATTGTCTGCACAGAAAACGCCTCCGACTGGAAGTTATCAGAGCGTAGAAGTCCCCGGTGTTCCTGCTTAACTGGTTTTCGTGTTTTCTGATGGCGTTTTCCAACATTTCACTGCGTGGTAACGTAATCCAGATGTTTCTAGTGGCATCTAATGCGAATCTTTGTAGATGCCAAGATTCAATTTTTGCGATACGTGTGTCGAGTCATTAAAATTATGTTTAGATGATTTAAAGGATGAATGATTTTTATTTTTAAGTAACTTAAACGGGTTCTAATTGCTGACCAAAGTAAGTTTAGCCTGCGAGCTGCCCTGCATGATGAGTCACAGGCACACCCTGTGCTGACAACTACAAGGGGTATTCATTGTTATTTGTGTGCGGATTATCGCTGAATGAATTCAGATAAATTAGTAATGCAGTGTTTTCTTCTTTAAAATGCAGAGCTCATACAGGACTATAGAAACAAAAGAGAACCACCCCCTAAAGCATGCACTCTTTATAATGCACTCTATTGTGTTGGTAAGGAGCAGGTTATGTTCAGAGTTGCAGTTTTAAATTCTGCTGCTAACACAGAACGCCCTCAAGAATACTAATTTAATCAACACAATTATCAAGCAAGGTGGTTAGCACTGTTGCCGCACAGCAAGAAGGTCCTGAGTTCAATTCCACCATCAGGCCGGGGTCTTTCTGTGTGGAGTTTGCATGTTCTCCCCGTGTTTGCGTGGGTTCTCTCCGGGAACTCCGGCTTCCTCCCACCGTCCAAAGACATGCAGCTTGTGGGGATAGGTTAATTGCATAATCCAAATTGCCACTAGGTGTGAATGTGCGAGTGAATGTGAGTGTGAATGGTTGTCTGTCCCTATGTGTTGGCCCTGCGACAGACTGGCGACCTGTCCAGGGTGTACCCTGCCTCTCGCCCTATGACAGCTGGGATAGGCTCCAGTGCCCCCTGCGACCCTGAAAAGGATAAGCGGAAGCGGATGGATGGAATTATCAATTTGGTCAATTTTATTGATTGAATTGAGTATTTCATTGATCTATTTAAAATGTATTGATTTGATTTCTTAACAAATCGAAGCGTCTACAGGTTAGTAATGTTAAAATGTTTAATGTTTCAGAGTTCTAATATGCAGATGTGGCTTTAAACAGCAGTACTGAGAGCGCACTCAGCATTAAAAAAAAAAACCCCTCAATATTTTATTTTCAACATTGTGTGTAAAATGAGAAGCAATTTTCTGCACAAAGTATTATTTCTTTATTTCCAAGTATTCGTGTCACTATCATATTCTGTTCGCTATAGATTTTTAATCATCTTCACCTGATTGTGAAAGTATGTCATGCCAGCGAGCTCGCAATACAACATGGAAAAACCTTCAGCGGGTCACCGAGGGACACAGGTACGGAAAGCACAGCTGTAGCTGCAGTTAATACACAGCAGGCACGTACAAAAAAACAACAACAAAAAAAAACAAAAAACAAAAAAACCCCCAGAAAGAATCAAAAGAGACTTTCTTGTGCAAAAGATGTGGCACAAAACATGGAAGGAAACAATTCCCAGCTTATGGTAAAATATGCAAAAAATGCAATGGACAAAACAATTTTGCCAAGCAATGTTTTTCAAAGAATAAACAAAAAGAAAGAGTACACACACAGTAGAAGAAACTGCTCTCAGTGACACGTTTTTTGTGGGAATGGTAATGCAGCAAGATACACCCATGGACCAACCTGCAGTCAGTACAGTGAAGCAGGACAAATGGATAGAGATGTTACCAGTGAACGGAGCCCTGGTAACTTTCAAACTGGACACAGGAGCCAAGGCTAATCTGGTGAATGAGCTGGATGTGAAAGCGATGAAAACGAAACCACACATATTCCAAAATAACAGTTTACTCCAAGCATTTAATGGAGAACCAATCAAAACCAAAGGTAAATGCAGGCTCCGGGTACAAGTAAAAGGAAAATATCACAGTCTGATGTTTATCATTGTGCCCGAGAGATACATGAATCTCTGTTGGGAGATAAAGCATGTGAGAGACTCTGCCTAGTCAGAAGGGTATACAGTATAAACAGCTCTGAGCCCAAAAGTGTGAAAGAAATCGTGGATCTGTACCCAGACATATTGAAGGGGTTTGGAGTGTTACCCTTCACCTACAAGATAAAGCTGAAAGAAGGAGCTCAGCCTGTGGTTCATGCACCTCGACGTGTTCCAGCTGCTCTTAAAGACAAGCTTAAAGAGGAACTAGAGCGGATGGAGGCACTGGAAGTTATAAGTTGAAGAACCTACTGAATATAAGAAAAGTTGAAGAACCTACTGAATATAAGAAAAGTTGAAGAACCTACTGAATGGGTTAACTCCATGGTGTGCATTAAAAAAAACCAACCGGCGCTCTTAGAGTCTGCATGGATCCGAAATACTTAAATGCTAACATACAAAGAGAGCATTACCAGATACCTACAAGAGAAGAAATAACAAGTGAAATGGCTGGTGCAAAATTTTTTAGCAAACTAGATGCGTCCCAAGGATTTTGGCAACTCAAGCTTCATGAGGACAGTAAAAGCCAAATCCACTTACATGACCAGGCAGACAGAACACACAGCATAAATGCAAGTAGATCACGACACAGACACAAAGAAACACGGGGCTTAAATACACAGAGGGAGCAATCAGGGAATGGGTAACAGGAGGGAAACACAGCTGGGGCAAATCAGGCCTAACGAGACAAGGGGAAGCAAAACCAGACACATTAACATCAGATATGGACTTTCAAAATAAAACAGGAAACATAACACAGACTCACAAGCTGGCACTATAACAAAGGGAACAGAGACGTGGGACCAGGGCAGACACAGACACTGACTGGATGTGGGGATACAGCAGACAGGGGAGACAGCAACTATTGAACACAGACAGAAAACCAGAACACTAAAACTCTAACCAAACCCCACCCAGAGAACCTAAACTAAGAATGATCCTAAAACCCATAAAGCAAAGCTAGAATATAATGAAATAACAAAATCAAAGAACCAAAAACACAAAACACTGGGTCAACAACCCAGGGACCCTAACACTTTGTGTTCAGATGATAGTAAATAAGCTTTTGAGTAAACTACATTGAATAAAAGTGCAAGCAACAGAAAAATAAACATTTTTGTTTTACAATGAATTAACATGTTTTATAACTTTGCAAAATGAATGATATTTTGTACATTATGTGTAACATCAGATTTCTGTAGGCTTGCATGACAACCTTAGGGTAGTAATATAGATGCTTTCACAATGATTTATATGTATATGATGTGATTCCATAAGCAAAGTGTGTGTGGCTACAATTAACCATTAAATCTGAGATATTCATGCTGTTTTTAAGCTCTGTGAGGTCGATCACAGGAAGAAGATAACAAGAGTGAAAGTAATGGTTGGTTCAAACTTGGATTTTTGAGAGGAGGTCCTGCTGTCGTTGTTTGTTATTGTCATCAGAGGAACACTAAGTGAACATTTTAACCCTCAACCAATAAGTATTAAAACAATTATAATACTGGAAGTCCGATCATCAAAATTTGTGATAGTCATAACCACAACATTATCTGATAAGATTAATTTGGAAATATTTATTTTTTTATATAGATAGATAGCTAAAGAATGTCTGAAATGTAGAGCACCTTTGAATGTTATTTCAACACTAAGTCCTCAGATGTTTCTGTTTCACAGGTACAATGATGAACCGCTGTGGTCTGCTAACTCTCCAGAAGGAACCAGGTACTGACAGAAAGTAAAGGGGCTTCTGTTTACTCTCCAGCCTCTTTTCATTCATCTAAAATTCAAATGTAATGACTTTTTTATTTGTAGTAGTGGCTCATAATAATAAATGATTATTTCCCCATGACTGAGACAATACTCAACAAACCCATTTCAATAGCTGGATGGTCATTTGCTCTTTAGGTTATCAACATGAAAATTGCATTGAGGTTCATGGCCATTTTCACCTTCTGCTGACCAAAGTATACATAAGAAAATGTTGTGCTTCTCCCACACCCACTGGTGAAAAGTTCTGGATGGCATCAAGCTTACTCTGTGAAGTTGATCATATGCATCTTGGACAGTAGTGTACTGCTGCATATGGCTACGATTAATGCAGAGTATATCCCTGTGATACAAAAGCACAGAAGAAAAATGATGGATACAA